TGGGCTGCAGTGAGTCGCAGCTGGATTTGAAAGCTAGTCTCCTATCGACTGCGCTAATGTGGCCTGCTATTTTCATCCTGTGTCCCCATTCCCGACCTAATTCTACACATCCTTTGCATGCAGTCTACTAAGTATAATCTAAATACAAGCTTCAAAGATTCCATCCTATCAGTGTAAAAATGAAAACCTTATCTGGTTTGGCTATCTAGGTAATCATGACTGCTCATCAAGATTTATTATCCTCCAGGCTACAGTTTGAGAAGCAAGCAGCGATAAGGCAAACCACTGAAATCATAAACTGATGGACTATGACAATTAACCAAAATTAGTGGACTGGATAAACATGATAAACAAAATTACACTGGTGCACTTGGGGCATGATGAAGCGCTCATTCTATCCCTGAATCAGTTGGAGAATGTGACAAACTAAAATAGAGCAATGGAAGACTGAACACACACAAATGGCACCTCAACAACCCAAGAAGTGGCAATGAAAAAGATGCTAAATTACAATTAAATCAGGATTAAAACTCACAACAGATAATAATATACTATTGCAAGTCTTTTATTTTAAAAAAAGTCTTCAAATGGTGCTCACTTTCTCTGCTGGCGACGGATGTTGTGAATGAGATCAGTTAGCAACCCTGTCTCGACTTGACATCATTCAATAATTGGGCTCCAATAAAAAGTAAAGCACCCTTTTTTTTTACACCAGTGGCTCTCCATGTGGGTTCTGGGGGCCTCACTGTGGGGGAACAAAAAACAGACCCACTACCTCCCCCACAAGCACGTTGTAGCAGTCCACTAACTGGGAGCATCCAGAGGTAAAGAACTAAGAGACAAATAAGCCGGATATATAAAATGGATGTGCCTTCAACACTTATGTTCTGGTACAATGTCTAAAGTCCAGAGGTGGATGAACAGCCAGAACTTTGCACAGGAGGTGACAGCCAGTGAATACAAAGAAAAAAAATAAGATGCCAGTAGCACATCAGCATATGCTGCTAGACTCTGAATTGTATAGTCCATTCGGTACACAGTGACTGATGTGGTCAACATCACACCAGCCGCCTTTACTTCTCATGTTATTTCTTGGTATCTTTTTCAGGTTTTCGACCTGAAAGACAAGGTCAGTTGGGGAAAAGAAATATCTCGATGTGGATTAGAACCTAAACCTTTGAGTAAACCAATCACGAACAAGTCTACAAAGGGCTTGCAGTGTCTGCAAAATGCCACTTTATTTTTAACATGATTTTCGAGCCATACATAATTATCAAATGACATATTATCCTACTATATTTCTTTACAAAAAAATTATTAACCTTTTTTCCACACCTCCAAGCATACTGGGCTCAACCTATATTTTTAAGTCCAATCTGCACTTGGTGGGTGATGTAGATAACATCACGCCGGTTGCCTTGACTTCCCATGACTGTACCTGGCACCCATTAAAGGCTGCTGCTGTATTGTATTTGGTCAAACATAAAAACCAGTTGCCAGATAAAAAGATTCTGTGTGCATTTATATGCCCAGAAAATGGAGGAGGCAAGGAGATTTCAAGGGGAGGATGTTCACCAACAGCCTGTTTACTGGGAGATGACGGTCAGAAGAAGCATCAGCAAACACCAAACAATTACAGAGTACAAATGTTTATGTTTATTGGATGGATCAACATCACGGCACATGGGTGTAACCCAAAAGTGCTCCATTCCACCTCTTACTCAAGCCTGAGTCTGAAGAATCTCAGCGCAGTGCACGAACTCCGTTGCACCGGCGAGGATCCTGAAATACTTTGGGTGGATTTTTAACTCTAGATTTTGCCCGGGCAGCACCGTTAGGCTACGCTTTTCATTTTCAACTACCAAGGGATTTTGTGTGTGTGCACAAGAATACACACGGGCATTCGATTTTACTACCCAGAGACTAGAGAAATTACTAGAAGTCCACGTGAAAAAATCCCAGCCTTAATGGGGCCTTGAACCCGGGACCTTAAGCACTCGAGGTGGATACATCACACTTCCGGTTAAAATGGACGCTAAACAGCGGCGCCGTTCGGAACAGAGGCACATTTTTTGCTTCTGCCGAACGGTGGCCGATGCATTTTTGCTCCATTTGTAGACTGGATATAGTTTCGTCGCCCAGCTTCTGAGTTGAATGCATGGCATGACCCTGTGAGCTGCGGATTGCATTTGGAATGTTTTTTTCAACTGTGACCAACGTGGTGGTGTGAATTGTAGATTCAGAAAATGGCGCGATGCCTGTCGTTCAATGCTGGCGGGGCCCGTATTAAAATTGATCACGCCACGCGGACAACTGCTGATCTGTTGATGACAAGTTCTGCTATCATCAATGATGAACTGCATTTCTAATGTTGGACTGTTTGTGTTAGCACTTCGGATGGCTACCATATGCTTTAAAGCGAGTGTATGCTAGATATGCTGAGACAGCAGTCTGTCAATCTTTCCACAAGGGACTGTGATAGACATTCTGAGTGTTTTTCGCTGGCACAGGAGCGGAGCAAAGATGGGGCAACCCGTTTGCTATGAAGCTGAAACTAAGACTACCAGACTACCAGACATCACACCTCGAGACCACTCGGCCCCGATTACAGAGCACAAAGCTGTGGCTCACTCAGTCTGAATGCCATTCAAGCAGTTATATTTTCTATGACCAACCAACACACAATGTAAAGAGGAATGCATGACATACTTATAAAAACCATGCTGGAAAAACAAACACTGAAAACAGTTGAGCAAGAGATAAACTGATCCTAGTCAGGAGATGACCAGCTGGCAGTAGATATAACCGAGGTAAGTGGTGACTTCCATTGCAGCAACCCACTGTCGGTTGAATTAATGAAGACCGATCTTTAATTCACCAGAATCAATGTGGTACCCTTTCCACATCTCCAGATCAAGCACAGAAGCATACCAGCAATAAACTTGCATTCATCAAGGAAAACTGAATCCACACCCATTGCACTAGCCACTTTTACTACCGCACTTACTGTGGACTGGATATAAGGAGGACCCATTTGTCACAGAAGAATCTTAGAAAAATGGCCCTTTTTCAAATTGTGTTCCTTTTTAAACCATTGTTATAACTAAGAAGAAACAGCAGCAGACGCTTGAAATCTTGGGCAGTTTTCAATACGTATCCAGCATACTGTACCGGTACACATTTGAGCATATAGGGCAGGTGTAGTCTTATGCTTCTCTGATGACAGTGTATCACTAAAAGAGTTGAATGTTTCAAGTCACAAATTGTCTAAATCGGAACAACGTTCATTTCCCACTGAAGGGAAGTAATCACTAAATACAAACAGCGCAAAGAATTAACCTGTTGATTTCCTTCCCTTTAACCATCTAAAAGAGCAAGGTGATGCAACTTTGAAATTATATGACATCAAAACTTTGTAAAAATTTATTTCTGTTCACACCAAAAAATATCTGGGAGGGGGGGTATTGTTGCTGTAAATACAACCATGCCCACTATTTCTACACACTATGCAGCTGCATCCAGCACCAAAGCTTTTATGCAGGTATAGTGAGATGCCATTAAAAAAAACCTGACAAGCCTAGATCTCGGTATTTAGGGGGCGATCAGGTTAATGGCTCCTGGAGTGACTCATTAGTTTTCCAACCTTTTTTTCTGTAGGTCACACAGAACAGATTCTGAACTTAAAGCCCTATCATCAGTTAGCAAGTATCTTGCCAACAGTCATGGCCTATCCCGATTCTTGAGATCTCGGAAAGGAAATATCAATTTGTGTTCTGACACTTTTCTGTGCCATGTCAAGACTAAAGAACTATCTCTCATTGTCTTTCTCTATCTCTCCTTCCATAAATCTGTCAGGCTGTCACAAGAGGCTCCAACTGCTTTCTTCTCATCACCAGTGACTGACTTGTGTCCAGCACATCCTGACAGTTGCAGTCACATGTACTCTAAGCTTCTCTGTCCCTAGCCACCAAGTATCTCAACCACAACCATTTGCAGGCAAGCTACGCCAGAAATAAAACTCAAATATACAGCAACAACAACACGCTGTTAACACCCTTATTACAAGATGCACACCAACACTAGACATGGCAAAACCCGGTCATCATCACATTTTCAAGAAACCTACAACAAATCAAATTAAAATCTTCAGAACGCAAACAATACATTGCACAATGTACTGTCTCACTTAAGCTGTATCCCATCAGATGGCCGCGTTAGCGCAATTGATAAGAGGCTCGCTTTCAAATCCAGCTGCGACTCGCTGCAGCCCACAGTAGGTGTTCGAAACAGTGCCGTTCCCGGGGTTCACCCAGCCTCTAGGAAATGGGTACCAGAGTTGACATTCTGGGGTAAATGGAGGAACATCGCTGTAGCTATAGAGTTATGTTCTAACGGTCACACAGGCGGACAGTTCTTATCAGCTGTCTGTACTGGTGGCAGAGCACTTATGGTTTATACCGTGTGCAATGATGCTGGTTCACATTTCCTGACTTTACCTTTACTATCAGATGGAAACTGCAGAAGCTACATCAACAAATAACGAAACACAAAAATTAATCCTTTAAAGTGAGATACAGAAATCACATAGTTCATTATTACACTGGATCTCACCATGGAAGTCTAAGGTTAACCATACAATCCTTTCATTTACTTAACTTGTATAAAATGTTGTAAATTCAGTAATGTGCACCTGATGGGAATTTTGTTGTTGAAAATATGGACCTTTTTCAAGTCAGCTCGGTGCTAAACTCATATGTGTATAGACCAATCATCACTAGGTGGGTGATATGGTCAGCCACCTTGATTTTCCAGGATATTTCCTGGTTCTTGTTTTTTGGATGGACCTGGCAGCCAAGGTCAATTATTAAACAATGCCACACAAAACAAAACTGCAATATATTCCTGGTGTCCTCGTTGAAATTCAAAACAAGAAAACATCCTTTTGAAATGCTGAAGATGTGTTCAAATTCTTTCATGGCCATTTCTGGTGTCACTTCCGGCTACCTTGTGGCTGTTGTGCTAAAGGTGGGAGTAAAAGAAAGAAAGAAAAAACTGTTAGATCTGTGAATGTATTCCTTCCTCATAAACAAGAGAAAATCATAATGGAGACTTCAGTGCCACTGAGTATTTTGTTTTCTAATGCTTGAAGGAGAATGTGGGTACCATAATTGCTGGCCCATTTAAGTCAGTGAAGCGCCTATCCAATCCCTAACTAGTCCCCTTTTTATGACATGCTTGCAAAGAGGCACTGGTTCTACCCCCCCCCCCCCTCCCCAATAGGGTTTAGGAAACCACACAGGGATGCCTCGTGGTCTACTCCCATTCAAATCTTTTGGAGTAGGCTTTCTGTTATCTCTGTCTCATGTTATCTATTTGCCAACTAATGCCATCTATAAGGAAATGTCATACAGACCTTAAAGTTTAGTTAGTATTTTCTGTGACAGCCTTTTTCTTTCTTTCTTTTCCCTACTGTAAATAAAGAGACCTGAACAGTGCTGTCCATTAACTGTGTTGGCAACCTTGGAGTCTCCCAAGAAAGCCAGCTTTTCCTGCAGATTTATGTAATTCTAGATTTACAAGTGCCAAGTACTAAAGGAAATTATCACTGCATGCCAAGAATGTTGGATAAGGGGCGTTGAATCAAAGCCTCATCTACTGTCATCTGAAGGCAGCAGTTTTCAAATTCTTGTGTGTCATCATTTTTGTGTCTAGTGTGCTACCTTATCTCTGCTTATTTTCTTTACTCCTATGCGAGTCACCCAAAGTCTTCCCGGCACTTACTTGTATAAATCATACAACCCTGATACAGGTTACAATATTTATATTTTCAAACTGCTTACACAATTTCACACAACACAAATTTCAATTCTTTAAAACAATGAGAAATAAACAGTTGTACTGGAGCTTTTTTCTCAGTGACTTTGACAGCTAAGCCAGCAAAACCTGCCAAGCTGGACAGGTCAAGGGGGTACAAAAAAGGAAGAGAGAGATCCTGGTCCACCAAGCTGAAGGCTGCAGCATTGGGCTAATACCCACACCATTGCAAAAGCTAATTTCATCATGAAGCAGATATTTAGGCCTTCAACTGGGATACAGAGATGAACGATGGCAGGTGGTTTCTGCAGCAATGACCCTCAAGGGTTCACAATGCTGAAGGAGAATTCAACAATACAACTTTTGAAAGCAGACAAATATGTTCCTTATGTGTCCATTAACATGTTTATAATTCATTCTAATTGTGCAAAAATGACATCAGTTGTCGAAACTTACCTGGCAGTAGCAGCTGATATATGCATGTTAGGTCTCAGGTACCTGTCCTCATGCATCTGTTGCTTCCGCTGATGAATAACATACTTAAAAAACTCATACACTGACCACGATATTGCTGTTGACGGCATCTGATAGATAACTCGCGCGGAGAGTCCTCGAAAGAATCCTGTGATGCCACAAAACTCATACACTGTCTTAAATGCAGAAGCCATGCCACTAATGTAAGTTAAATGTGTCCTTGTACAATGCTCTTGAGTATTCAGCAGAGTCTTGCACACATCTAGAGGCATAGTGATACAGGCGGCCACTGATCCTGCAGTAGCACCTGCTATAATATGAGATTTTGGATCGTAGTTCCTTTCTCCGTTCAGCAAGTCCTGCATACATTCGTAGACCATGAACTGAATTGACTGAAAGGGTATGTTCATGGTGAGTTGAGTTGTATAACTTCTGTAAAAAGCGCCCATTCCTTCTTTCCGTAAGATTTCTCGAAAACACAGCCATGTGGATTGGTACGGGCTGCCATACATCTGCATGCGTTGCTTGACAACTGAAATTTTACAATTTGTTAACGTATGAAAACATGTTAAATATATGAAATGCATCTGCATTTTTTATTAATAAAAATATCTTTGATACGATGCTTAATCTTTTTTCAATTATAGTTTTTATAATTAAAAAAACTAATTTATACAAAATTTTAAAAACACATCATGAAAACTTCTTAATCTTTTCAACTTTCCTGCGTAAATATTTTCCAGAAAATTCTTAATATTGTCTAGCATCAATTTCTATGATGATAGATTAGCTGTATGGCAGCGAATCTTAGAATGTCAGTTAACAAATTAGGAAGAATTTGGAAGCAACAGAGATGTGGTTTCTGAGACGAATATTACGAATACCTTGGACGGCCAGAGTAACTAACAACGATTGCTTGAAAGAAGCTAATGAAAGTCAGTCTTTATATACAACAATAAGAAAGAGACAAACACTGTTCTCCGGCCACATAATGAGAAGAGAGACATTGGAGAACATCATAACAATTAGAAAGATCAGTGGAAAAAGAGGGTAAGGCAGACCAAGAGAGATGATGCTGGATGGGCTGAAATGATGGCATGCAGGGATATCATCAAGAGAGCTGTTTCAGGCAACCAGGGATCGCGATCTGTGGGGACGCATGAGCATCTAGGCCAACTGCCAGGGCACATGATGATGATCAATTAGCTGTTGCAGCTCCCGTGAGTATTGAGCTACTTTATTATAAGGAAAATATGATGTACAAGCAGCAAAAAATGCTGGGCTGAACTCCACATCAGAAATAAAGAAAGTTACATGCAACAGAGCAGAGTGGAGGAATCAAATGTGAGCCCTAAGTGAGGTCTAATGGCACACAAAGGATGATGATAAAATATTGAGAAGGTTCTCTGGGATATACCAGATAGTGCACAGGAACAGACAGACTATTCATGTATGAAAAGACTGACTCAGCCACGAGTTAGCAGAGGGTCTGAACGACCCACAGTGTGCTGGAGAAAAGATATGCTTGTTACTGGCACAACTAGTATGACAACTTTGTTAGCCATGAAGAAGGAGACAGAACACACCCAGAGTGCAGTGGATGTCAGTTCTGAACTCTTTCCTTTTTTTTTAATGAGGCTGGTGACCCTAGCAACATACGGATGTGAGACGTGAACTTTCAGTCCTCTAGAAAGAAATTAGGGACTTTTAAGCTGAAATTCTATAGAAAGATTCTCAGAATACCATGGACAAAGTAGAGAAGAAAACGGACATCTTGAACGATCTGAACATCAAGGAAGATTGGCTAATAAACAGCATTCTATCTCGGAAGCTGAAATATTTTGGCCATATCAAGCACCATGGCAGACTGGGAAAAATAATAGCAGAAGGCACGGTACCAGGAAGGAGGGGCAGGGACCAACTAACACCAAGATGGGACAGTATAAAAGTGACTCTTTCAATAGGAAAGTACACAAGGCAGGAGAGCTGGCGAGAGAGCAAGTTTCTTTTAGGTAGACTGTGATGTGAGAGACGTTCTGAAAAGGACCTACTACATGATAATGATAATAGTGTGACATCTGAATTATACTGGTCAGCAAAATAACTATGCCACTACCGCTAAGGGAACGAGAACCACCGTCTTAGCCTTGAAGCAGCAGAACCACCATGCTGTTGTTAATACATATTTTTAAAACCCCACTAAAAAATTACGAACGAAAATAATTTTCAAAATTTTAGAATTTTAGAAAGAAAAACAGGAACTTACCATCTGCGGGATTCATAACTGCATCATGAAGCAATGTTGCCGTACACCCCGCTAGACCTGGAGATTTAAAATAAGCATTCTTCAGGGAAAGAAATAAAATGTTTGCCTAATCTGTATTCTGCAACAGTTAATTGTTAAACGAAGACAACTGTTGACAATTAAAAGCAATGCTCCTGGTATCATTTTCAGACAAGTTTGATAAAAGTACATGCTAACAGTTGGACAAGAGAACCCTAAGATTTTCTAGTGGATACAACCTTGGGGAAAGAAAAAAGTAAAGTAAGGTGAAAGAGGCTTTTCAAGTCAGTGGTATTTCTGGCTTATGGTGCTACACCAATATTTGTGTACACCAACTGGCACTCAATGGGTGTTGTGGTCAACATCCGGCCAGCCACCTTGACTTCCCAGAACTTCACCTGGAACCCATCTCAGGTTGAGCTGACCTGGAACCAAGGTCATTTCTGAAGAAAAAAGCCAACTCAATGTGGAGTTTAACCCAAAACTTTAAGGCCGGTAGATAAGCATCTAGCAGCTAGGCCTCACAGGCTCCTAAGAACAGAAATTAGAGGAGAAAAACTTGTTGAATGGGCTCCTAAGAACAGAAATGAGAGGAGAAAAACTTGTTGAATGGGCTACTAAGAACAGAAATGAGAGAAGAAAAACTTGTAGAATGGGCTCCTAAGATCAGAAATAAGAGAAGAAAAACTGGTAGAATGGGCTCCTAAGAACAGAAATAAGAGAAGAAAAACTTGTAGAATGGGATCCTAAGAACAGAAATGAGAGGAGAAAAACTTGTTGAATGGGCTCCTAAGAACATAAATGAGAGGAGAAAAACTTGTTGAATGGGCTCCTAAGTACAGAAATGAGTGAAGATAAACTTTATGAATGGGCTCCTAAGAACAGAAATGAGGAGATAAACTTGTTGAATAATACTTTATTCATGCAAAAAATAATCTGTCTAAAACAGAAATTCAGAAAACAAGATTATTTTTGTTCTTTGTATACACCATACTGGGAGTCACCGTGGCATAGCGGCTAGACGCTCGTGTGAGGATCAGAAGGTCGTGGGTTCGTTTTTTTAAATGACCTTGACTCCCATGTTGACCCAGCCTGAGTGGGTACCGGGTGCAGTCCCGGCGTGATGCTGACCACATCACCCATCTTGTGCCAATTGGTCTATAAAAATATAGGTCTAGCGTGAAAAATTACTTTTTACACACCAAATTTCTTAATATACTGCCATTTCTTTACATCATATGACCCCCCCCCCCCCCTCCCACATACACACAATAATCCCAAACATCTTACCAGCTCTCACACAATAATCCCAAACATCTCACCAGCTATCACAACAAGCATAAATTTTTTTTTTTAAGTTACGACATGCCAGTATTAAATTATCAGATCTAACCCCTTTCTCATATATGAGACAAAGAAATTAATAGGTTCATTGCATTCAAAGCACAACATAATTATATATTTGATTTCTAAACTGCTTCTTCTTCTGTGTTCATCCTACAAACAAAAACAAAAAAATTTGTAGGCAGTCTATTTAGTGGTTTACAGCTTGGCTTGGCTGCAATATCTATGCTTTTCAGCCCAACACATTCAGAAAACCCAGAATCAGTCATCTGCCTAGGTTATCCCCCCAAACCCCCTTTCTCCCCAAATAGGACCACTGAACACACACAGTGAACTTTTTTTTAACTGCAAAAGTTACCATGTGCAAGATGATTTCCCTGCTTTCCTCCACTTAAAACTTCTTTTCCCTTTTCATAGCAGGCAAAGTACATTGCATGGGCAGGGCCGGCACCGGTGACCATAGCACTGAATCCCCGAACTGTGTTCCTAATGCCTTCATGCCGAACAATCTTTTTTAGAGCATCTGCAACACTTCTGTAGTCGGCTTTTGGATCTGGCATCAGACACTGCATTCTTGTCTGAAAACCCACAAAAAAGAGAGGGAGAGAAAAAAACTAGAGATTGACTGATTCTTTAATTGTTAAACAATTTTTTTTTTAAATAAGAATGAACTAGAGGAAATTTGTTGTCAACGTCCACTTCAGTTCCTATCTCAGTTCACTTAGATAATACATAAACATCACATATATACATATTTAAAACCAGTTGGATGCTGATGCAGGGTAGCAGAGTGTTGGCTCATTAGCCTTGAGTCCAATTCCATTGCGGTGATAAAAAATAATTTTTCTGATAAATAGGCACAGCAAACAATTCAGCCTCATAAAATGGGTATGTACATATAGGCAGGTATAAGCCCACACACACAGAAATATATGTGACACATAAACTAAGGATTTACCTGGATCTAATCTCCAAAGCTGATCGCTAATGCTGGGGCATTATTATCACAAGAAAGAATCATGAACGCAATTAGGTCAGTGAGTGTTTGCCTGACAGATCACAGAAAATATGCTATCTGATTCCACGATATGGGTGTTGGTTAGATTTCCACAAGGATATTGATACTGTAGAGCAGTGTTTCCCCAACTTTTCTTAGTCGCTGCGATTTTTTTCAATAAAAATTTTTCACAGCGTCCTAGCCTAAGCAAAAGTATGATTATTCGCATGTAAGAGATTAAAAAAAAAATGTGTATCTTCGAATATTTTCTGTGAAGAAGCCGCAGCTCTCGGGGCGCCGCGGTGCACAGTTTTGGGAATCACTAGTGTAAAGAATTCTTGGCAGAATGCCAATTCTATCAGAAATACAGAGGATTTTATTTTTTCTCACTATGGGTTTAAACTGAATGCCTGGCTTTTCGTAAATTCACTCAGAATTATGTGTTATGAATTTAATGTTGAATTAAGAATCAACATCACATCCCTCATGACCCTCCCATAAGCGCTCCATCCTTAATTTTCAGTAACAAGCGCCAAGTTCCAATTCTGAATGCGCCAATAACAGTTTAACTATATGCCCGTCTCGTCTTTCCCTTGAGTGTCAACCAGATCCTCGGGTCACTTCCTACAGCACCATTCTCCACAGACCATAATGATCTATTTGTGTCTCTGCACTTTTCACTTGCTCCCAAAGAGCCCTTACAGCATCTAGCTTGTAATGTTATAAGCACAGAACTCTTCTTTCCAGTGTGAGATAGATGGAACTCTTAACCTGGAAAATATCTAACAGTCGAAAACTGGGTATTTTTTTTTTCAATTTATGGCTAATATTTCTTGCACAGATTCTAGTTATGGATCATAAGTTCTATATAAGTCTTATTTATAAAAGTCTGAACTAAACCAGTTTTATTATCTACCCTTTCTACTGTTTAGTATGTTTATAGAAAAGAACTCCCACTCAAAAGGTTCTTGTTTATAACCATTTTAATTATTTAATTAAAATGATAGGAACTGTATCAGTAGGATAGATCAGGGCTTTTTACTTAGGGGTACGCAACTGTATGCAGTACCAGCAATTTTTCTGAGACATAATTTTTCAGCCCTACTTTAGATAGACACCTGAGTGGGGAGTATCTGTGCCTGTTATAGATACTTTGTGGTAAGTACCGGCACATAATTTTAGATATTTTGTCTTTTTAATTATTTTTTTTCATAAATAAAAGTCAAGGGATATATTATAAAGATTTAAAGCAGCATAACACTGGAAGGCAAGGTGTCGGGGATCCCTAAGTGTTGCAAAAAATATCAGGCCATGGGTTGTTGGTAATTTGTCAGGAAAGTAATTAACAAGAGGAAAGCCATTTTAGTAAAGTTTAAAATAACTGAGTAGCGGAATGCAATCTCATGAACTAGCTAATCATGTGATAGAACAGGAGTGGCTTCTAATGTACAACCAACAGCAGTATTTATTCATCTATTCATTATCTGCTCAACTAATATATTGACTTACAAATGACACAGATATTTGAATGAGGCAACATTCAATTTAATTTCATCAGCTCTATGAAACTTATTTTGGCATACCTTTTTTTTTAAATTAAAGAATGTCATTAATTTTATCAAAGCAACATTATGTAAATATTCTTCTCAGGATTCATCCATTATCATCAACATCAAGTACCTTGCCAGCTGGCGTAGGCGTTAATGTGTCGCCACAGATCTTGGTCTTCAGTGTTCTGGATCAATTCTACTGGCGATTTTCCTCCATGCCACTGTCTTAAGCCATCCACCATCATTTCTCTTGGTCTGTCTCTTCTACCAGTGATTTTTCCAGTCGCTGCTTTTCTCATTACATGACCAAAGAACTTTGTCTCCTTCTCATTGTATATAATGTTCTACTTTCATTAGCTATTTCCAGGCATTCAATGTTAGTTATTCTGGCAGTCCAAGATATTCTCAACATTCTTCTCAAGAACCACATCTCAGTTGCTTCCAAACTCTTCTTAATGTGTTTGCTAACATTCCAAGATTTACTACCACACAATAGAACAGGCTCGATATAACATTTCAATACTCATTTACTGATGTTTAATGAGAGCAACTTATTACATAAAATACTTTTTATCTTCTGAAAAGCTGCCTTTGTCTGGCCAATTCTGCTCTTAATTTCTGTCAAACATCATCCATCAGTTGTTATGAATGTTCCCAAATACTTGAATTTATTGACATGGTTAAGCACTTTCTCTTCTATTGCTGTTATCTTTTGGAGTTATCTACTTCTTTGATATAACCATTGTTTCTGTTTTCTTAATAATATATCCAAGGAGAGGACTCATTAAACATACTTTTATTGTCTGTTGTTGCAAATTAATGTCATAAAACTAGGTATTATATCATGCATGTTATCAAAGCAAGAATATGTCATTCTTCTTTTCAGAATTCATTTCCACGCCTGGAGGTGCACTGGGTATAAGGTCATAGACTCATACCAATTAGCATTCAGCTGTTGACATGGTCAATATTATGCTGGCTGCCACGATGACTTAACACATTTTCTGATTCCAATTTACCCCTGTCTCAAAGATTTGAAGATATAACCACCAAGCTCACAGGAAAGCATGCACGCCATTGTGCTACCATGGTTACAATATGTCTGCAGAAGTTTTGAACTCTTGGATAAACAGCAGCTAGGCTACCAGTTGTCTGTATTTTCTAAGATGATGCCCCCCATTATTAGATATATCTTCATCCTGTGGTCCCTACAACTTATCACTTAGGCTGAATGAAGATAAGCAGTAAGTTTGGTTGTCATCCCTACATTTATGTACAAAGTATAAATTGGGTGTATGCCAAATGAAGTTATGATGTCAACCTTATAAAACAATTTTTAAAAAAAAGGATAAATATACACTGATTGATACTTCTTTTTCCCGTTCGCCAGCTGTTAACTCTGGCAGAAAGTTCTGGTTGTTCATCCACTTCTAGACTGCAGTCCTGTTCCAGAACCTGAGTGTTGCGTCTGCATCCGTATTACGCATCTGACTCACTTGTATGCAGACTGTTGGTTCCTTGCCTCTCAGGCAGATGCACTCCAAAGGAAGCTCCCAATTAGTCAACTCTTAAGACATGTTTTTGGGTAGGCAGTGGGTCTATTCTTGTTTTCCTTATTAATATTAGGGATTTTAGTCAAAATTAAAAAATTAGGTTTTTTACTTTTAAACCAAGACAGCTGAATAGAGGTTGAAAACCCGAGTCCAACGGTACCTCAATGAAGTCTGTATGTCAATTCTAAGCGGAGATATTCACATTTCAGTGACGGAAAGTTGCCCCAAAAATTTATAATGGAAAACACAGAAACAAGATGGCGGCATGTTCCCAAGTGAAAACTGGACCTCAATTTATCATGTTTAATGTCAATAACTCTCAAGTTTTTTGCTGAACCCCTTAGCAACCATATGTCATTGCTTTCAGGACAGCAGGCTCTGACTAAAATTGTTGCCTTTTAAAAAAAAATGATGTGATGCAAACCTAAATAACATAAAAATGAGTTTGTTTATCAGGATTGATAACCTTATTTATGAATTAAATAAATGATTATTATCCAGTAAGTCTTCCAAGACATATACTGTAATATGCATACTTTTGTAACTATTCTTCTTGTTATGATGCATCTCTTCCTATTTGTTTAAAAATGCTTTTTCTTGCACTCTTAATTGTGTGTGTAGTGTTTATACATCTGACCGAAATTTGCTCTATTCCACTGTTAAAAAATGTTCAATAGCGAGTGGATTGACTTCACTGCATCGTTACTGGTTTCATATGGCTTGGTCTTTCTCCACATAACCATGAACGACTAGCCGCATGCCGAGACCTTAGCAGTAAGCCTGAATACCGTAGCTCCAGCAACAGCCTCCAGGGGTTCCTGTTAACCCAAACAAAATGTATTTTTGAGACGAACAAAGCAGTTGTAAAATAAACTCACCGCAACCTTCCGAGCACGAGGTTAATGGCTTCACTACTTTTCTACAGAGACCCCCAATATTGTTTGATAACCAAGTGAAAATATGCACCCTTTTTACTGATTTAACATAATCCCTTCTTCAGTCTTTGCGAGTTATTCTTTAATTTTATTGATGATGAGCGCATTTTACCACAGTGTCCCCCTCTTCTTCTTAACTAACACTGCTGGATATTTTATTTACTAGTTCAAAATAATCTAAGGTAACTGCTCATACCTGATTTGTGATTCAGTGCTATGTTTTCATGGAGTAAAATTATTAAATAAGCTCTTTTGTGATTCGCTTTGGATTTATGTTGTGTTTTCATGGAGCAGCATTTCATAAGGTAAGAGAAAAAAGAACATTATATATATTTTATTAACGTATCTATGTCCTATGTGATCTGTTTGCTAGCTAGTATATATATTAGTATATTTAGAAAATAATTATTAAATATTAATAATCATAATTTGTAATTAGCCTTGGCTGTAAGTAAGTAAACTTATGCACAGTTAAACAAATTATAATTTATTATTAATTTTATTAATCGTCAACTTTCTAAATAAGCATCTATAAGTCAATACTATAATTTTAAAACTAATAGTATCAGTCATAAATAGTAACTGTTATTCATACTATCTAAGACAATAAAAATGCACCACAAAATCAGTGTAGAAATGTGTGGCAGACATTTTTTAAAATGTCAGTCTAGGTTCGGGGAGTTGGGGGAGGGGGGGGGTCAACAGGTAAAAAGGCTTTAAACAGAAACTATTATGATAGATTATGGCTTAAAAAAATGCTATAATGGCTACAGATTCGAAAAATGATTAAATAACTACTTTATATTTTTTTTAAAGTATAATAAAAAATGTTTAAACCACTGTCTGCGTCCACAATGTCAGCCTGGGTGCGGAGAGTGGGGGGTCCACAGGTAAAAAGGCTTTAAACAGGAACTATTATTCATGCCAAATGATAGGTTATGGCTTAAAAAATGCTATAATGGCTAAAGATTCCAAAAATGATTTAAAAACTACTTTAATGTGATTTTAAAGTATATTTAAAAATGTTCAAACCAATGTCTGTGTCCATTTTCAACGCAAAATACCCTAGAAAATAGTCTATGTTAAAAACGTGCTAAAACATTATTTTCAAGTATTTAAAATTATTAAAACTCATGTAAAATTAAAGTTAAAGGAAGGTAAATTATAAATACGATAAAAATTGCCTTATTTTTGAACTGTTTTAATAAATAACTAGATTAATTAATCTGAGATAAACAGTTCGTTTAGGCCACGCGGTAGCCATTTTGAGAAATCGCCGATTTAGCTGTCAAGAAGTGACCGGGAAGAAATTTAAATTTTATATTCTATGATGTACAGATTCCAGCAAAACTACCCATATTTATGTAAAAATGGACACAGAATCCAAAAATGTCAACTAAAAGTATTTAAATTCACTTTAAAAAGGAGATATTAAAGAAATTTAATTCCCGCATAGCAAATAGTGAAATTTATTTGGCTGAACAAAGATCGCTATGTAAGTTAGGTGTCGTTTGGTTGAGCGACCTCTTCTGAATAACTTTGAGCCCACGTATTCGATTCTGAGCAGCCAGTATTAAGCGACGGGATTTCAAAGTAACTGATAGGCAAAGGAGCCATTTTTCGTGGACCACCGACGCCATCTTGTAACTAAGCGATCTCTACTTTCGTTTTTAAGTGGGTCACTTGAATGATCAAAATCGCTATATTAATATTAATATTTAATAGGGCCCCGGAACCCACACAGGGAGCACACTGATACAATACATTTTCATGTTTGTTCCTTAGCCGAATCTTCACACTCACAGCCAATCAACTCAACATTTCAATAGAATTTTTATGAAATGTATGCTATTGACAACACTTGCGCAAATCAAAATAACTATTAGTATTTAATATTGTGAATTGCTATGCTATGTGATTTGGATTTGCGCAAGTGTTGAGAGACCAACAGATTAGAACACACCAATCCTTATTACATGTATATTCCTAATATGTTTTTCTCGCAAATATCATTAACACAAATTAACTTTCATTTATTGTTTTCAAATCTTCGTTATTAAATGGAAGCATCTGCCCTACCTTCACGCAATCAACAGGATACATAACAGAGTGCTCCATGATACCGGCCGCAGCTCCAGCAAGCATGTGTGTGCTCATTGAAGTTGCATCACCAAGCGTTTCATAAAGATCCTCTTCTTCCATTGTTACCAATGTTTATATAAAGCAACACCCAAAAAGTCATTAATTTCTACGCAAAAACAAACCAACAGAGATTCATGTGGTCAACTTGTCCGCTTTCTGCCATCGTGACCTCTCGTAGACGTAACCAATCGCAGCCATCTTTTGTTGCAGAATAGTCCATCTTTATTGGAGGGAAGTCAGTGTTCTAAACATCGGCAATTTGTTGTTTATCGAAATTCGAGATTTTGTTTCATTTAAGAAATATTAATTTTTTTGACATTCATTGTAGCCATTAAAACCTTTCTCTTCTCCTTCGCGTTTACCGGCTGTAAACTCCGGCGGAAAGTTATCGTTGTTCATCCATCTCTGGAAACTAGTCTTGTTCCAGAACTTGAGTTGAAATCATCCTCTTTCTATCGTGCCGCATATGGCTCACAGTCTAGTCCTCCGTTCTATTCTGTCCTTACTACCATCTTGTCGATATTATGGACGGAATCTAGAAGTTCCTTTGTCCTTTGTCAACAGCGTCGTGTTTCTCTTAGATGTTCTTTTTTTTTTGTTTGTCTCAATCCATTTGTTTCCTACTTCAGTACCTGTTTAGTTATTCTTAAGTTATCACAGGAATCTATCAACACTCTTAAAAATATATTCTTGTGTATATAACATACATAGATACCATACGTAGCGAAACGAACTTTAATCACGAAGAAGATATTACAGAATTACTTTTCGCCGACGACCAGGTACGCAGAAAATACGCAATGCCTACAGAACCACCTAAGTCAAATTAGTAACAAAGTGGAAGAATATAATATGAAAATAAACACTACGAAGACAGAGACAAGGATGATAGAAAGACATAAAGACAATTTAGAAAATTAAAAAAATAATACCCTGAGACAAACAGAGGAATTTAAGTATTTGGGAGCAATTTTTACATCTGACGGGAAACTGGACAGAGAAATTAGCTCCAGATGTGCCAAAGCTAATCAAGTAATGGGTCAAATATCACCCCTGTTGACACATAAGCAGATACCTCGGAGTTTTAAAGTGAATCTTATCAGAACTATTTTTTTTTTGGTCAACACTATGCTATCAATGCCAAACGTGGACACTTACATCCTCCAATGAACGTAAAATTGTGACAGCAGAGATGAGATGCCTTAGAAGAGCTGCAGGAGTTTCAAGGAAAGAGAGAATACGAAATCATGAAATCAGACTAATGCTAGGAATAAAGCCAGTCTTACAGGTCATCAAAGAACAACAAATGAAGTGGTTTGGACACCTAACAAGAATGCCCTGGTACTATCCGCCACAGCGAGCCACACTAAAACGTTACAACGGGTATAGAGCGAGTGGAAGACCTCGGAAAATATTGAGTGATGGCATTAAAAAACAGCCTTACAGAAATGAACATCAGTCTTAATAGTGCTCTTGACAGAGCCCATCAACGAACATTACATCTCTCCCCGACACTTCGATGAGGTACAAGGTGGAAGAGAAGAAGAAGAAGAAGCTGTTGTACCGATGCCTCTGTTTCGTCAGTTATCCATTCCTGACACCCTCAATCTGTTCATTGATGTTTTCACAGGTGTGCTACCTATTTCATACCATCTGCTATCCTGTCAACTGCATACAGTGGGCATGCACTATTCCGATAGTGACATTGTGATGCATGCAGAAATGTATATCAAAATCGCAGCATAGAGAGAACACCCTATACATGTGACATTGTGTAATTCCATGGGCCACCTCTCTTCAGCCTGTTTCCTGCGGTATCAGACAATGCGTTATGTTCCCTGTCCGTAACACTTTTGAGACACATTTTTGCCTGCGGCACCATGTAGCTTTGGTATACAGGCGGCAAGGCAAGCATGCACTCCATGCACACAATTGATGTATCTCATGCACAGTCCAGAGTGGCACCTACAACTTCCATTGTTGACGTGAGATAATGAGAGCAGTTTCAGACTATACTCCATCACTGAAAACCCGCCTAAGGCAGCCATTCGTAGACTGGTCGGCTCTCATTGGAAGACGGGGCAGGACATATGCATTCTCCACCATCCAATGAGGCTTTCATGAATGCAAAGCCTAGCACCATATGCCTGGGCTCACCCGAGGAGTCATCACGTCCTGCACAGAACTGCTGACCCTCACATTTGTATTTTAAGTTTCTCATTCATCACGGGCTACGCCTTTTAGATATAAACAAAAAGCAGCCTGCAGATCCGAGACTTTGATGACCACATAGATGGGCAAAATCTTCCTCCGCATGTTAGACACCGTTAACATAGTTGCATCAGGGTAATCAACACGTCAGTAAGTGCATGCATCAAGCTTGGCTTCCCCTTATGGCCCCGACACACCGACAAAAAGGGACAGTGCTAAACTTTCTGTTACACAGCAAGAAATTTGACGATCGGACTTCTGAACCTTGGCTGTCACACAGTAGGACATTCAATGGATTAAAGCGTGACGTTATGCTGTAGGACACTTGACTCACGGACATTTTCACCTATGCATTGAGATCGGCCGATGAGATCCAAAGAATTTCTTGACACCGTCTCTCTAATGGCCACCAATTCAAATATCCCTTGCCAGCTCGATTCGGCCAATATAGACCATTATCCTTGGCACACAACGAGGAAGTGTGATAGGAGTCTTACACAAGGATCTGTAAAACCAACACAGAGCTAAACTGGCAACCAATCTAAGCTAACTTTTAAAAACTAACGTGTCTTTTACCTTACCTCTGCTTTCTATGATCTCTAATAAATACATGCTTTTTTTTTTTTTATTAAATATACCTTTTTATATAATGTTATGCCTGTGGAAAATGTACATCCTATTTTGTCAGTTTAACGCCCGTCTTCTGTTTGTCTACCCTAGCCATTGACTGTCCCCTGTCTAGTTACAAGATACGAGATAATAACGTTTCCGTTTGCCTGGTCCTTTCCCATCCGAAAAGGGTATGTTCTCCAATAGTTGCGGTCTGCTTATCTTCTGACATTATGAAGACAGGCAGGTCCTTTTAACATGGCGAAGCTGAGACTACACCAGTGTTCGATTAAAAAAATTAATGCTTTTGGTGGAATTTATTGCGGTGTTTATGTGCGTGATGGCTAATATTTTTATGTACGACACACCAGTTAAAACAAAATTTCTATAATGTTGTTACGGTTAATTAAAGACAGACGTCATAGCACCATCATAAATAATCCGTCTCCCTCGGTAAATCTCACGTACAGAGTTGATCGTTTCTTGTAAACATTCGTCGTATTTATTTCCGATTCGTTCTTCTAGACAGAATAGGAAACAGAACAGGACAGACAAAAACTGCATTTTATAAAATGAAAAACATATTGTGCAATATATCCTTGTCATTGAGAGTTAGAAAAATAATTCTTGCTTGCTACATACATCCAGTCTTAACATATGGCTGTGAATCATGGACAATCGGTAGGCAGGCCAAACAATTTCTTGAGGCCTCAGAGATGTGGTTTTACAGAAGAATGCTTAGCATAAATTGGACAGCCAAGAAGAGCCACCAAGAGGTTTTAAAAGAGGTCCGAAGACAACTTATCACAGACATCAGAAGGAGACAGTCATCATTTTTCGGCCATGTTATGAGAAGAGGGAAAAAAGAACATGTTGTGACCACTGGAAAGATCTGTGGAAGGAGGGATAAAGGAAGACACAGAGAGAAGATGCTTGACAGCCTTGCTGCATGGCATGGAGGTGTATCGGCACACGAGCTGATACATGCTGCAGGAGATCGCAGATTGTCGAGAGGCATGATCGCCCATGCCAGTCGGCAAGGCCCCTGATGATGATGAGACACCTTGTCTAACTGGAACAACGTTTTTAAAAAGTTTAGCATCGTTAATTAAACTGTTCCATCTGTTGTTGTGTTATCGATTCATTAACAGTAATTCACAGACGGTCTTCAAAGTATCTTCCTTGCCAACTCTGACTGTTTCAACTACCTACTTATCCGTTCCTCTTTGTCTTGCCACAAGCTTGACTCAGATAGTAAACCCCGTTCATGGCATTGTGTTTAGTTTGGAATTTAAGAAAAAGGTACTGGGAATCATATAAATGTAATTCCTGTATCGGTAAACGCTCCAAAAAATCTTAGCAGCCTGCATTTTATTTCTCGAGTTCCCCGAGTTGGGTCTAGGGCCCTATTTTATGGAAAACAAGAATAGACCCACTGCCGTCTCTAAAGCATTTCGTTAACTAATTGGGAGCTTCCTTCGAAGTCGGAGTGCACCTGCCTGAGAGGCAAGGAAACAACAGCTGCATGCAAATAAGTCACACATGTAAAACGGATGCACACGCAACTCTCAGTTTCTGAAGTTCAACCAAAACTTTCCCGGGAGTTTACAACCGGTGAACGCGAAGAAGACTTCTCTAGTCAGATTCTGTTTCTTGAAACATTGCTTTTGTTGTTTTCATATCCGTCCATCATGTTCTATTTCTCCTTTCTCTCAAACTTCATTCCCGCTGCCATTGTGTTTCTTTGTATTAGATCTTAGCTTGTCTGCTGATTGTCCACACTTCATATGCATATAAAGTTTGTGTAGTTCACTTGTGTTTGAAAAAGGCTGCTCGGTCGAAACGTTACGTTGTGTTGTTTTGTGCACGTTTTCCTCTTTCCCATTTTGTTGAGCTTTTTAGTCAAATTTCTCTGGAATTTCATATGCATACAGTAGTGCATGTTTCATGTTTCACTTCAACGCCCCCCCCCTCCACCCAATGTACATTATTTTCAATCGTTGGTAATTTTTTGTCTTGTATAAGATTACGTTTGTATTGGTGATCTTTCGTCATATGTAATAACCCTTCCAAGATTAAATATTCACCTGTTTTAAAAGAATCAGTTGAGGAATCATTTTTGAAGAAGCTATTTCCGACTTTCCCTCCTGTTGGTGTCTACAATATGATCCTCTGTTCTCTTTGGAACTTAAGACCCAACCAAGAACTATCTGCCGTGGTTTCACGGTATTCTGATCGAGGAAGACGGGGGGGGGGGGGGGGGGGAGGGTGGAGGGGGGGGGGGGGGGGGGGGGGGGGAAGGACTTAGCAGCAGCAGCAGCAGTAGCAGTAGTAGTAGTAGTAGTAGTAGTAGTAGTAGTAGTAGTAGTAGTAGTAGTAGTTAGTAGTAGTAGTAGTAATTAAAAAAAAATGTCGCGTTCAACCCTCAGGGTTATAACTGGGGATATGTTTATATATCGTGTAATTATTCATAAGACCGATATGTAATTTGTATTGTTTCCATATTGCTTTGATCTGGGTTCTGATTATGATAGAAATTGTACAATGAATTGTTAGACAATCTTACCAACTTTGAGTCATTAACATGTTGGATTTATTATTCCCTTAGTGTAACAGTTTATTATTATTCTCGATTTCATCTTCAGGGGAAACTTCTTCAAAGATGGCATGGGCATAAGCCTACTTAACCCTTCTAAATATGGATTTTAGTTGTAGTGATAAATTGCTCGACATTCCCACTTAGGTCTCTGAGGCTGTTTTTGTGCAACACGTTTTCCATCGTCATAGGTAATTTACAGAGATTTATATATTCAGTTAATGGTTTTCATATTTCCTGTACTCCAGCAAATAGGACTCTGCATTATTATATTTCTGGCATAGATTACAGGTCTATTCCTGTATAGTAAAGCAGTCTCACCCAAGTTGTAATCTAATGAATTTTTTTGTGTGCAAGACATTTTAAGGTAATCTGTTTTTTTGTGTGTCTGTAAGGAGCATTGAACAACTTTTATGAATGTCTACCCTTCAGGCTTTAATCCCAGCTCAATGACCATTCCTCTTGTATACATTTTTTAATTTGTGGTTTGATGTCCCCTGCGTTAATTCCTATTTTAACAGTAACATTATTGAATCTACTCTCCATCCCCCCTCCACTTTTTTCTTCTTCCCTGTCTGTAGTTTCGTTACCAAGTACTCCCACATAAGCAGGTCTCGATACAACCAGCACCAAGCAACCTCTTGTGTTTAAATATGCAGTTGTCAGAGATATCCCTTCTTTCAGGTCTTCTACATATTTTAAACAAGGAAGACACAAACAATAGATTGCACAATATTTTGCCTGGCATATTTCGCTGTACCTCGTCAGGTGCATACTACAGTAACAATTACATGTTTGTTTTAGTATTCAGAAACCATGAGTTGTTAACTCTTAGGCTCGGTGTTATGGATATCGCAACCTTTCGGCCTTGATTCCATTGTGAATACCGTAAATCTGGAAGAAATGTGGCTTTTCTGCCTACCCCTGGGAGTGAACCCGGACCTCAAGGAGTTCGTCACCCGGTCACCGAGCAATCCGGTTTAGCCAACTACGCTAGAGAGCCGGGCTGTAACAATTACATAGATGAAGCACCTGGCGAGATACAGCGTAATATATCAGGCAATAAATTGTGCTATCTATTGTTTGTGTCTTCTTTGTTCAAAATTACAACGGGGAAACATTGCTTTGATTCTACATATTTGTAAATTTGTTTTTTAAAAGCCTGAAAAGTTGAAATTGAGCTCGTTAAAACTGTCAGTTGTTTGGGAGGGAGCGTTCAAGAGCTTTGAGTACAGCCATTATTTATGCAGTGAAAATTGGCAGATTATCACGGCTACACAGCCGTATGTTAAGACTGGAAAACGTCTATCAAAAGCTAGCAATATCTTGTTTCTCCTTTGATAGGGGAGAGCTTCATCCCAGAAGGTGTTATGTTTTTTTTTTTAAACATCCTACTTTTTTGGTCAAGGGAAGTTGCCGAGGTGTAACGGATAGACGCTCGCCTGCTAATCCAAGTTTGAAATGCTAATCCAAGGTCGTGGGTTCAAATCCGAACGGAGCCGGACTGTTGAAAAAAAAAAGACCTGGGTCAACCCAAGGTTTGACCACATCACCCACCGCGTGCCGTTTGGTCTATTTCTTTCAAATGTGTCTAGCACTATATGCCAAATACGCCTGAGGACGTGAGGGTAATTTTTTTTAACTAATGAGTCAATCAAGTCAGTTGCCCTGGACAGAATCTGTCCAAACAGAGTATGTAGCCCTGCATTCCGTTATCAGACGAATTGACCTTTGAATGATGAATAACTTCATGTGTCAAAATCCATCTAAATAAAGGTGGAAAAAGAAGAAGAAATGACACAAGAAGATCGATTTACGTGGATCTCAACTCGTTTTCGTCTCCCTCGGAGAAGCCAGATAGACGCGCCGGGTTAGCACAACCAAACACCCCTCTATGCATATTGGAATCGTCTATTTGAGAAACGAGACGACCAAAATGGCGATGTCCATACAAAACAAGTTCAGTGTGATCTGTTCTGTTTTGTTTTTAGTAATTGTCACACATTCAGTTTAATACTTGCACCTGCTTTTAATTTTGTCTTAGTTCAGGTGAATGTGACGAAGTGATTATGGAGTCTGAGAATCAACAGTCACCAGAAAACAGCTCTCACGACGCACACGCCATCAGAGAGGTGATTAGTAAAGTAAAATCACAGGGCTTGTTCGATCAATTTAGGAAAGAATGCCTTGCTGACGTTGATACAAAGGTAATGTTTAGATTTAAAATATTTACCCATTACTTTTTTTTTCTTAACTAACTGCTAATTGTGAATAATGTGTTTATGTCATTTCTAGTTCCATCCACAGAAACATAATAAACATTGGTAGAGACGCTCAGACCCCATAAAATAATCACAAACCTTATGAACTTTACCTGAGATGATCAGGAGTCAAGCGAGACCACAGTAGCCTGATAACATAATAGTCATTTATTAACTAAATAATGTATTTAAAGTTTTAACTAGCACTCATGTAAGGAGGATTCAGACGTTTCAACCATTGTCTTTGCAAAAGGAAGCTTGTCAGGACTCAGCTAGTAAGTTAGATCTATGAAATCACCTTTTCAGTTAACAATTAAATAATAATATACCAACAACAGTCAGGTCTTTCACTGTGTGAATCAACTGTAGAATTTATATTGTAAAAAGCGATCAAACTTTATATTTACTGCAGAGATCTATGGATCATTAATGCAGTGTAGTTTACTACAGTAGATCATCCAACACTTCTGATACTTCAATTGTTCATTCACATCATCTTAGGCTTTGGCTTTACCTCTTACTTGTCTGCCTGAAACTTTTTGCACTAGCTCTTACTTGTCTGCCTGAAACTTTTTGCACTAGCTCTTACTTGTCTGCCTGAAACTTTTTGCACTAGCTCTTACTTGTCTGCCTGAAACTTATTCCTTTACCTCTTACTTGTCTGCCTGAAACTTATTCCTTTACCTCTTACTTGTCTGCCTGAAACTTATTCCTTTTTCTCTTACTTGTCTGCCTAAAACTTTTTTCCACTAGCTCTTACCTGTCTGCCTGAAACTGTTTCCACTAACTGTTACTTGTCTGCCTGAAAATTTTTCGGCTCTCTTTTGAATAACGCTCCCAAATGAACTACGCAGACAGTTAACCCAAACAGAGCCTCATTACGTCCTGCCCTACAAACATTTGAAAGCTGTAACTCGGGAAATATAAGGAACGAAAAGTGTAAGGAAAAGGGGCAAAGTCTACTACTTACCGAAAATCAAAACCTTTATATGTGAAAATTGTGGCACACTAGTTGCAAATAGTGCACGAATATCTGTTCTGTCTCGCTGTCCGTTATCGCAACTCAGCACGGCCTGTCCGAGCGAGACGTGATCAGCTCTAATGCGCGGTTAAATGTACGCGCATGTCGCCTCGGACAACTTCAAACCAGCAGATGCCACGATAACGCTAGTAGTTCCAACAGACGAAGTAGCTCCTGTAAATTGTTGACTTTTTTTCTGGCGACTATAGTGCCACCTCCGAGAGTATCACCCGCGGTGCTGAAGGGACTAAACTAGATGGCTAGGACTCACGAGCAAATACATTGGAGGAAGCTGCAATAGCTGCGGAAGCTGCTGCTCGTGAGTCCTAGCCATCTAGTTTAGCCCCTTCAGCACCGCGTGTAACGGCGCGGGGAATACTCTTGGAGGTGGCACTATAGTCGGCGAAAAGCGGTCCACAACTTACATATAACTTGGGCCCTGCCATAGGATAGCGCTATCTGGAGTATTCTCGCGTGCCGCTAATGTTTTTCGTCCGCAGTTAATCCTAGTTTTGCCGCCATGTAATCGCCGTACAAAAATCCGTTGCGTTTCGCGAAAATGTCGTGCGCAGTTAATCCTACTTTTGACACGGTTGAATCGCCTCAAAAGACATGCAAATTTTAGATATGAGTGAGGCTCTGTTTAGGTTAACTGTCTGCATAGTTCATTTGGGACCGTTATTCAAAAGAGAGCCACTTTTTCCACTACCTCTTACTTGTCTGCCTGAAACTTTTCCTATTTGTAGGTTCATGTCAACATGATTCTTATCTTGTGTGGTAAAATAGTTGTTTATTTTCTTGGTTATATTTCATCTCTTTTCATTTTCAGCTTTTCTAGGACTGAAATTTGTTTAGTTTGTTTTCATGTTCATGGTTGGTTAAGAATACCTTGGAAGGCTGATGTTTTAACTATTAATTCTGATGCATTTGCAAGTAATCTAAGCCCTGAGAATGGCTTGTAGTAGCTAACTATACTTTTATCAAGTTTCCTCATGATTTATTCTGTGGTCTTTCTGTATAAAAATAATTTTGTTAATGCTGGTACTTACGTGATAGGTGTAATATGCTCTGCTAGGGGCATGTGTTAATTTTCTTTGCTTTCAGACGAACAGTGAGTTGTAACGACACAACATGAGCGAATCTTGAGTTGCTTGCTTTTATTCGTTGAATCGCCAATTATCGCATACACACATCCTCGCGTCCTCGTGCTCGTCTTGCTTGGCTGAATCTAGCGACCTGGTCGGACTTCTTACACACTAAATGAATCCGTCGACGTCTCTTGAATCATCCATCCATCCTTCACGAACCCTGGTACCTGACATTACGACGTGTGGAAAAAACATTCAGTCCTCCTATCGAAATATAACACTCATTTCACAATTCGTTCATTCTTCTCAAGTGTCCACTCATGCGACCTCTCTCAGTCAGGGCCGAACTTCAACTGTCTTACTTCTGTCTCCCGGTTCACGTCTTCCGTTCACATCTCATGCTTTTCTTGCGTCTCTCACTTCACTCCCCATGAGATACACGAGACCCACTTATCCCGTTTTTCTCTTCTATCACTGGTCCTCCGACCTTGTCCTCCCCATCGGGAACTCACTGGGATTTCCCCGGGAATTCACAACATTACAATAGGGAGCCATGTTAACCTAATGGCTAGATGCTTGCCTGCTGGCCTAAAAGTCTTGTGATCGAATCCACATCGGGGTGGATATTGTCAGTATTGACCTTGGCTCCGAGGTCAACCAGACCAAAAGTGGGGACCAGGAAATGCTCTGGGAAGTATCAATGGTCAGTGTGATGGTGACCACATCGCCCATCGATTTGCTGATTGATCTAACAAATATGAGTCTAGAACCATACACCCAGTGTGAACTGTCATGAAAAAGAGGCTTTTACTTTCCCTTATTTATTGCCTAATGGCACTGCGTCAGGGAAATAGTTTTTGGAAAAAATTACAGCGACTGACACATAGAATGCTTATATATGTTTTCCCCCTGTGGTAAATAGATGTTACATTTTTTTTTGTAGTAATTGAATGTCAAATGTTTTGATCTTGCAGCCTGCTTACAACAACTTGATTCAGCGTGTAGAAAAATTTGTGGAGCGATTTTTGAATGGTCAAAAATGGAATACAAATGTGAACAAGAATCAACTACGAGATGCCCTCAGACGCCAGTTAAACAAGTAAGTACCATAGTATAATTAAGTAAAATCTAGACTCTAGTATTTCTTCTTCTTTGCAATTGCTGTCAGCAAACTCCAGCAGGAAATTTTGGTTGTTTGTTCACTCCAGCTTCTAGGGAAGCGTCTATTTAGGCGTCTTTTACGACATGTAGTGAGTCTTTGGAGCGGCTGGTCAAATGTTTGAACCCTGGGCTCTAAAACAGGAGACCCAGGTTCAAATCCTCAGTAAGAATGGTAATTTTTTATGCCGGGGAAAAAATACAATTCTCACCTGCACAGTTGTGGCGACAGCACTAATCATGCAGTCCTGAATCCTCAGGCTCAAAGACCCCTCTGTCTACACCACAAAAGTGGTAAAATTAAAGCAATAAAAGAAAACAGTGAGTCTGTTCTTTTTCCCCCGAAATGTAGCCTCGGAACCCACATAGAAAAATATTTGGTCTTTAATTTCTGACAAAAATGGAAAACGAAACATCAGTGAAATGTAATATATTTTTGATATTGTTCTGATACTGAATAAGAGATATTTTCACTCAAAATAGCATGATTATTCCAGGTTAACATAAGCCCTACTTTTTTAATCCAATGGCTACATTATACCTGTAAATTTGATTAATTTCAGCTCTGGTGTGATGAGTATTGGTGTTGACCGCATTATTGAACAAGTTGTAAATCCCAAGATACTCCTGGTATGTACTGTTGTTTATTTGTTACTGTGTACTTCAGGGCTATTCAACTGATTTACTACAGATTTAGCCTACAGAAGCCTAACAAGTGGTCTGTGGATCACCTGCCAGTTATATTGCATTATTGATCTTTCTCTGCTGGTCATGGGCCTCTGGCCCATGGTGATTCCCATTTCCCAACACTTTGGCTGCTGTGTAAATTTAGTTGAATGACCCTGATGATTGTCAGGCATCTTATTGACAGAGCAGTAGCATGTCTGCATGCTACCGGGGTGAATGTCTGGGCTTTGTGATCTGACCTGAGACACTTCACTGTCTTTGGCATATTGATTTATAACGTCTAGGAAGGAAGACTTTCAGTTAACAATTAACTCTTCCTTGTTATCCATATCAGCATCCTAATACATCTTCTGCCTTTCTATCCCTCAATGGAGCATAGGCCCTCAACCAACTCACACCATGTTGTTCAATCTTTTGCTCTTACATGAAGCTCTCCCCATGTCCTCCCTGTTTTTCTCACTTCATTATCCAGCTCTCTTCTCCGTGTGTTTTTTGGCCTTTCTTTATTCCTTTGCCCCCTAGCACATCAGTTCAACCCATTCCTGCTCTGTCCTCAGATGCAGCAGCTATCTCATTGTGTCGGTGCTCAACAAACCTAGCTATAGTTGTGTGGCAAACTTTCTTTGCACCGCAACTGGTTTGTCATGCTTGTCCTGGATTTATTATCCATTTCGGACAGGCGGTTCATCATCCCTGACTCATTTGTCTCACCACAGCACATTCAGTATTTCCACCCTGTCCATACTTCTTCCTCCACTAACCACTGCAGAGACGGCTGGTCTGTCAGCTGTTTCCTTTCATTTCACCCCACGGTCCTTGATGTACAGCCAAGATAGTTTCTTGGGGCAGGAGTTCTGTATTCTGTTGACCAATACTAATTATTGGGAGTCGTTGTGGCCTAGCGGCTAGACGCTCATCTGCGGATCAGAAGGTTGTGGGTTTGTTCCCTAGCCGAGCCGGACTTTAAAAAAAAGATGACCTTGGCTCCCCGGTTTACCCAGCCTTGAGTGGGTACTGGGTGCTGTCCTGGAAAGTAAAGGCGGCCAGCGTGATGCTGACCACATCACCCATCTTGTGCAGTTGGTCTATAAAATATCTCTCTAGCCCTATATACCCAATACACCTGAAGAGTGTGGAAACGGGTCTTTTACTTTTAATACTAATTATAGAGTTTGCCAGTTTGAATCTTCTTAACTCTTTCAGTATCAAGCATTCACCACATGTTCTTTGGTTATTCCAGAGATAACTTGAAGTTTTTACTGTCTTCTGTCATAGACTGGTGTTTTATTAACCCTTTGTATCTAAACTGTTAGTTCTACTACTTATGTTCCATCTTTTCTCTGTTTAACTCAATGGTCTCCAACCTTTTTTTTTTAAGGTGGCACCCCCTTGAGTATATGACAAGACCCCCTAAGCCTACCTACCCCCAAGATAACAAAAGAAGAGAATAAAAAAGACAAATCCCAACACTTAATAAGAGCTTGGAGAAAAATCATGCACTTAATTCAGTGTCAAAAAAGAAAAAAAAACAACAATCACCAACTAGTAATTTGGCGTCCAAATATCCGTATGACGGTTGACACTGTTTTGTCTTGAGGATTTCTGCTATTTCTGGTCTTGTGTTTGTCAAGGCACAACAGAGAGCACTCTCCACATCAAGATGGCAGCTTTGTTTTGTTTTCAAGACTGTTAACTGAAAAATCTCAATTATTACATGTATGCATGGACTAAATTTCAAAATTGCTTCACACCTCCACCCCCATCTTTTTTTTTAAACTCCTCCCAACCCAAAGGTTGAGACCACCGATTTAACTCCTCCAGATCTAAATATTTATTGCTTTTAAGCTCAGTATCAGAGATAGAGTGAGTTGAGTAATAACTGCTTGGGACTTTAGACTCAAGCCTAATCATTGAGTCAGTCACTGTTAGTGTGTGAATTGATAATTAGGTGATGGTGGGTTAAATTTAACAGTTCTGTGGGGCTTGTGTTCTAGAAAATGTATGCAATGTAATTTTAATCTCACATGTGGTATAAAGTTTACAGGCCACTGTGTTGCGTTTAAAGAAATATCATGTACTTCTTTGCATGCTTCGGCTGGCTCTTTGCTGGGTTTTTTTTAAGCAACTTCATGTTGGATTTCTTATTGGGTACACCCTGAAGAGAAGAAGTCAGAGAGTCAAATACAGGTACTGTAATGGAAAAAAATGGATTGAGAGAATGATGACATCTAAGAGAAATCCCTGCCCGGATAAAGACGGATGAGAAAGGCTAAAGGTACTGGACTGGATTCCATCCATGTTATCGAAAAGATACACAGGATAGGATGGAATAAGGAAAATATACTGTGAGCCATATGGTACACATAAGTGGCACAACAGGATGGTGATGATGCAGGAGTTCTGCCAAATGGTCACATTGTATATACGCCAGTGTGTTGGGAAATTAACAGGTGGACAGACTGGCTGGCTCTGCACAACTTGATGGAATACTGATGCATGATAAGGCAGACGTGGTTAGTGCCTTGTGGGAGAGTATGTACAGTTCAGAGGAGCAGATGGATTACGAGTCTGGTGAGATTGATGCAGCAGGGAGTGACGAGGGATTCTGGCAGATGCTTGGGGCTCAGAGGAAAGGCAAGATGGACGTTTAATCAGAATGCTACTGGCACCATTAGTATCAAAACTCTATACTGGCTGCTGAAGATGGGGACGGAGCGCTAATGGGAATGCCCTGAGTGCTGTGATGTCGGTTCTTGAATCAACTCAACTCATTGTATATTATGGGAAGTTGGCCATTCCTGGACTGCAGATAGTCCCTGTGGGTTCTGGGCCCCCATATAGGTGGAATGGGGAGGGGGAGGGGGGTAAACCACTGACTCAGTAACAAACATGTTGTAAGAGTTGATTGATTAGGGGTTTCCTTCAAAGTTGGGGTGCATCTGCCTGAGAGGCAAGAAAACAACAGTCTGCACGCAGATAAACCATATATGTAAAAATGGATGTGCATGCAAAACTCAAGTTCTGGAACAAGACCAAAGTCCAGAAGTGGACGAACAGTCATAACTTTTAGCTGTAGTTTACAGCCAGTGTGCGTGAAGAAGAACTACAGATAGCAATCAAAAACCTAGGCTTAGGGAAGAACAGTTATTATATTATTAAATTCTTAGGGAAATGTTGAATTAAGAATGGACATCGCAGCAATCGGAATACTCCCTTTATCATCCATCCCTATCTTCAGCAGCAAGGGGAGCCACAGGTAAACAGTGGCTAGATCCATGCCTGCCGGCTGCCTTAAAGATAGGTTTGATTCCACACCTCCGCATATGGGTTCTGGGACCCTATTGTAGGAAAAAAAGAATAGACCCACAGCCTACCCAGAAGCATGTCGTAAAAGTTGACTAATTAGGAGCTATCTTCGAAGTCAAAATGCACTTGCCTGAGAGGCAAGGAACCAACAGCTGCATGCAAATGAGTCATATTTGTAAAATGGATGCACACACAACACTCAGGTTCTGGAAAGAGACTAAAATTTCAGAAGTGGACGAACAACCAGAACTTTCCACCTGAGTTTATAGCCAGTGAACGTGAAGAAGAAGAAGAAGATTCCACACCAGGTAGTTTAAAAAAAATATTATCTCAGCTGTCAGATCAATCTAACCTACACTGGATACTAAGTCCTCTGGGAGGTAAAAGCAGCCGGCGTGTTGTTGACCACATCACATATTAAATGCTGATCGGCCTATTAAAATATGAGTCTAGTTTTATGTGCACTGATTGGAAAAGGGTATTTTTACTTTTGCACTGCTATATTCTAAGGGCATCAAACCTAAAATTGACGAGGCTGTATGTAGCTACCTTGGTGTTGACCTGAAGGCTCGACAGGAGCAGCAGCATAAAAGAAAGCAAGAACAGCAGAGGTTAATGTTACAGCAGCAGCACCTTCAGCAGCAACACTTGCAGAGTTTGATGAGTCAGAATGTGAAGCCTGGTATGTGTTGTTTTTTGTGTGTTGATTAATTTCAAGACCTAAGACAGACTCCTGAACATATGCTACAGGTTTGCCAGTAGAGGTTGTGGATCTGGCCACCATGGAGCTACCTTGTGAGTGGAGCTTTGAATCAGCAGTTACCTTAGACTGAAAATCTAGCGTGGCTGATGTTAGCAGAAGAAATATACCAATGGTACATTATCTGAGGATTGACAAGAATAGGCTCAAAAACAGCATTCTGTCCTGAAACCTTATGTATTTCGGCCATGTTAAACGACATAATGGCCTGGACAGAACAGTGATGGAGTGTTCAGTTTCAAGAAAATGAGACAGAGGCAGACTGCCACTAAGACTTTAAATATGCATTAACAGTGAATGCATAAAGGGCTGGAGAATTGGCTAGGGAAAAAGAGACTTTCACGCGTGCTGGGGGCAAGAACGCATTCTGTAAAGGACCTGTCGAATTATGATGATGTTAGATTAAGAAGAAAAGGAAGACATATTTAGACCACTGTGGCTTATAAAAGTGGGTACCAGATAATTTCCTGGAATTGTCTGAGAAGAAAAAGTAAAGAGAATGGAAACTGGCTACCTCATCTCATATTAAAAGGTTAAAGTAGAGAGGATTGATTTAAATGCACCAGGTTTTATCCCATGTGGCTCATTCTCTCTGTGGAATGGCTAGCCGCCTGCAAAGAATGTCAGACAAAGTATGAACACCATAGCAGCTATCCTCAGGGGTCTTAGTAAAAATAGCACTCCTGAACCAAACAACGCAGTCATCACACAAACCCTGACTTTCAGAGCGTGAGGCAAACAGCTTGACCACTTCGCCTTGGAGACCCCTCTGAGTTGTGGCCTAGAATGTGTGAAAGCCTAACATTTCACACCTCCAGTGGCAGTATTTTTCTGTGGGACCACTTTAACTGATTTTAATACATACTTTTCTTTAGATATAAAACTGGAGGTAAGTAAAATGAAAAGCCGTTCTCGTGGTATTTCACTGTAGTACAATAGTCACAGCATTGGGCCTTACGACTTAATATAGGCCGAGGCACCATTGGTATACTGTTGCTAACCTTCATTGTAGAGACTGTGTATAAAAAAAAATTACTACCTGTTTCTGGATCTTTTTGACAAAAGGACCATTTTCCACATCTATGCATATCTATCTAGGCATATTGGATGTTTAGGGTTAGACCTATATTTTAAGATCAATCGGTGCTTGGTGAGTGATGTGGTCAGCATCACGCCGACCACCTTTACTTCTCAGGACTTTACCTGGTACCCATTTAAGGCTGGATCAACCTGGGAGACTAATTCATTTTTGAAAAAGTCCGGCTCTGCCATCAGGACCTGAACCAGCTAGTCACTACACCACGGCAGCTCCCATAAGCATATAGTGCTAGACCAATATTTCTGTAGCCCAATCTGCACTCAATGGGTGATGTTGTCAACATCACGCCGGCTGTCTTTATTTCCGTCATTTTAGGCTGGGCCAACCTGCGAGCCAAGACCAAATTTGAAAAGAATTTCCACCTGTTGTGGATTTGAACACTAGACCTTTGGGCTAGCAGGCAAACCTCTGGCTGCTACACTGCTGCGACTCACACACTGGAACCCATAAGAAAACAAATAGTACTAGCACCGTAGCCTACCATACCTGTTGTAAAGGTCTTGGTGGTTACATTGCCTTTACAAGCCAATCGTCCACTGAGCATATGGTACTAGAATCATTTTTTTAGACCCTTTTTCCTTCCTAGCATTCACTGGCTGTAAATAAATTACAGTGCAAAGTTCTGGTTGTCCATCCACTTCTGGATTTTGGTATTGTTTCAGAACTTGACTTTTGCCTTTTATGACATGCTTTTTCAGGGGGCTGTGGGGGTATATCCCCCCACCCACCCAGTGGGACACTGGAACCCACCAATTTTATAGACCAATCAGCCATCAGTTTTGATGTGGTCAGCATCACACCGGCCACCTTTATGTCTCCGGACATTACCTGGTACACATTTTAGGCCGGGGCAACTTGGGAGCCAAGGTCCCTTGATGCAGATTTATTTAAACACGCATTTCATTTCTGAGGCAGTTTCCAGAAAATTATATTGTATGCATGTCGTAAGAGATGAATAATGGGAGGGTTGGCACTAGACTGGTGACCCCCTTCCATAGAAAACAGCTGCAGAACCTAGCCAATCTCAGGGTAGAGAGTCCACAAACATGCACATAGCCTTATACATCACCACAAATTGTATGTACTCAAGCATACAAACCATGCTACATTGCACTAGGCTGTACTGTTTGACCTGTGACACTGTCATTCTCCATTGAGATGGGCTGTCGGCATCTCTGATATATGCAGTTTTTAAAAAACAGTCACCTTCCCATATATCATCGTTATCATCAACAAGTGCCTTGCCGAGTGGCTTGGGCGATCATACCTCTCCATAATCTGCAGCTGCAGATACTCTTAAAAAATATGAAGTTTCTTAGGAACCTTAATAACCGAGGAAGAGATGAGACACACACATGCAGACATCACACACACACACACACACACACATGAATGCAAGTACACACACACGAATGCAAGTACACACACACACACACATAAAGAGAGAGAGAGAGAAAAACTGCTGTACAGAGCAGATGCACACGTATACATTTGTTTAGAGGCACTTACATCTCTAATATATATGTTTCAGATGACAACTTTGGCAGTGTTCCAAGGATTCTTCCTAACGCCTGGTCTCATGCAGCTAATGGTGCCAACTTCCCTGGCTCTCCCATGGCAGGAATGTCAAATTCAACTGCAAATGCAGGTGGATCATTTAACTCACACGGGTTTGGTGGAATAGTGCAACCATTTTATACAAGTGGTTGGGGACCAGGGTTGCAAGGAATGGAAGGTTTTAATCAAACCATGCAGCCTATCATCAATGGACAACCTATGATCCCAGGACAGCCAATGATACCTCCATTTGGCAATAGTGGAATTGCTCCAACAGTCCCTAATGGGCAACCTTTCAACAGCAGTGCGTCTCCTTCAGTTAGTAATGTTAATACGTCTTTCAGCGCACCAGCATTGCCATCACAGTCAGCTGCGGTCCAAAACATCCCAGATTTTAGCAAACCACCGCCAGGATTACCTGGGGCACCAATAATGAACTCTGCATCAAGCTTAGGGTCTTCACCAGCTCCAGGCATGCCCTTGCAGTCTAGCCCAGTTGCACCACCTGGTATGTTGCCTGGATCTGTTGGCAGCATCATTCGACCTCCACCTCCAGGTTCTATCCCACCACCACCAGGAACTGTTCCAGTTATGGGTCCTTCAGCTCCTCTCCGATCAATTCCAACAACACCCACCATCCCAGCTCTGATATCCCACACCTTATCAAATGTGTCAAAAGAAGAATTGACACCTGAAAAGATTGCAGTATTCAAAACAGCAGCAGCTTTTATCACCAAGACTGTTAGCAATGCACAAGGTACCCCTGGAGCTGATTTGGCTACAATGTTTTCACCTCGTGTCTTAGCTGAGGCAATGATGGCTGAATCTGGGAAACCATTAACAAAGCATGAGGTCAGAGCAGCGAGAAGAAAAGAGCGCATGAAGGAGTTTGAGCGATTGAAGGCAGAAAGGGAGAGGGAAGAGGAGGAGGAAAAGAGAAGAATGATGGAAATCACTTCTGCATGTAGGGAAGAACTGTTATCATTTAAGCATAATTTAATGGATGTATTCAAAGCTGCTGAGGATGTATCAGAAGATGAAGAAGCATTTGACATGTTGATAGATGCAGAGGAGTTAGGAAACAAGCATAAGCAAGGTGTTTTGCTTTCTGATGATTCCAAGGATGAAGAAGAAAAGGAAAAGCCCCCAACAAGCCAGCCAGGCAAAAAGTAAGTACATTAACTTTTTGTTGTTGTTGTTGAAAACTTTCATTTACTCAAGATATATGTGTTACATTTCAGTGGAGTATATACCTCTTTTGAGTCTATTAGATGTACTAACGTAACAGTCTGGGATGTAACCATTCTTCTTCTTCTTCTTCATCTTCCTCCTCCTCCTCCTTTTCATCTTCCTCTTCTTCTTCTTTATCTTCTTCACTGTCTATAAACTCTGGGTGTTTCCACTTTTGGACTGTGGTCTTGTTCCAGGACTTGAGTTTTGCATGCACATCAGTTTTACAGATCTGGTTTATTTGTGAGCAGGCTGTTGGCTGCTCAGCTCTATTCATCGCCAGCAACCTTTTATCATTTTTTTAATTGGTTATTTCTTGATGAAATGTGTGGTTCTAGTAAACACACAGTTGGATCCTCAGAGATGCTACGCAACAGAATGCATGTACTGTATGGCAGTGCTCCTAGCTAGATATGCAGAAAAAGAATGGAGCACTTTGGTGGAATCTTTGTGCAGAATGAAAGTGATCCTTGACCATAAAATAAAATTAGTGTATGTCTGGACAGAAGAAGGCACAACACATAAATTAGTAGCAAACATCCAGCAGTCTTTGTGCAGAAAAAAATATTTGTTAATACATTTTTATAATACAAGCTTTCATTTAATATGACTACATTTCAAGAAGTCAAAAAAATAACAACAGTAATTTATCATATAGTTTAATGTACACATATGATTAAATCTGTTTGCAAAATTGGTATAAATTTGTTATCACGACTTATGAAAGCATGAGGTGCTTTGATAGTAAAATACATATAATTATATTGTGTGTGTGTATATATATATATAAATATATATATATTCAAATGTATACAGATAATGTCTTAAACTTTTAAACTTTTGACAATTCAAGTGAATATAATATATTGTTAGGTGCCCCATTATGCGAAATTTGAGCTTGACAGCTTATCAGGAAATAGTGTAGAAATATAATACAGAGTTCCACTCAGACATACATGCTATATGTACACACACACAAACATATGTATATATATATGTATATATATAGCATGTATATATATATATATAGCATGTATGTATATATATATATATATATATGTGTATATATATATATGTATGTATATATATATATATATATATATATATATATATATATATATATATATATATATACGTATACATATATACATACATGCTATATATATACATAGCATGTATGTATATATGTGTATATATGTGTATATACACACACACACACACACACACACACACACACACACGGGGGAACTGATAAAGATATACAAAAATAAATACAAAAAGCTAGAGAATTGTTTAGAGCTCTATGAAATCTGTAGAAATCAAAGGACAGTTAAACTGGTACCAAACTTAAAACATTTAGCCCTTATGTCAAATCAGTACTGTTGTTTTTAGCTGAAACATGGAGAAAACCTGATAAAAGTATAACTAGAATATCTTTACACACAGATATTTGGAGATAAGAGCTAGCAAGTGAAGTTAAAAAGATGTGGACGATATTGACTGAGCTACATGCAAAACAAAGGTTAGGACTGCTTGACTGGGTTTGGTCGAGGGCTTTTTCTGTGGGATAAAGTACAGAAGAAGGAGAAGAATTATCTATTACTCTTTTAGCAGTAAAAAATGAGCACAGGAGAAGACTATGACTGAGTAAGAAACATATATCCAGATTACACGCATGCCAAATTATTGTATTTATACCAGTTTCTTCTTCTTCATGCTCATCAGCTGTAAACTGACAGAAAGTTCTGGTTGTTCGTTTACTTCTGATCTCTAGTAGTCTTATTCCAGGGCCTGAGTTTTTATGCACATCCATTTTACAGATCTGTCTTATTTGTATGCAGACTGTTGGTTCCTCGCCTCTCAGGCAGAGGTACTCAATTCAGACACATCCCTATTAAGTCGACTCTTGCAGCATGCTTGTTACAGGGGTAGGGGAGTCTGTCCCCCCCTCTCCTCCCCCTCCCCCACTTTCACCATCTGGCTTGGGAACCAAAACGGACTATTCTTTCGATTCTCCTCTATTATAATTGAGAATTTAGGTTTTTTTCTAAATTCCAGCAGAAACATCTGGCTGTTTGCCACTTCTGGACTTTGGTCATGTTCCAGAACTTGAGTTTTCTATGTGCATTCATTTTACAAATTTGGCTTTTTTTTTAATGCAAACTGTTAGTTCCTTGCCCCTTAGACTGATGAACTCCCACTTAAAAGGAAAACCTCTTTTTACAACAAGCTTTTAAAGGGGCAGTGAGTCTATTCTTTTTACCCTCGAAATGAGGCGCAGGAAACCTATGTGGGAAAATGTGTTGCTGATTTGCCTAATTAGCAATAGCATGGCTTGCTTTTCCTTCCTCGCTGACTCTGAGGGCGCGCTAAAAAAAAAAAGGATAGTTCCTTTTCACATTTCTGGCGCATCTGGTATACAGTGACTGATTTGTATATTTTAAGACCAATCAGAGCTTGAAAGGTGATGTGGTCAGCATCATGTTGGCCTCTTTTATTTCCCAAGATATATTCAGATAACCTGTTTCAGCTGCATTGACATGGGAACCAAGTTCATTATGAAAAAGTCAGACTAGATCAAACACAAGACCTTTAGCTCAGCAGGCATGCATTTAGCCATGACAAAGAGAAAAGTCATTTTACCAAACTCATTCCAAGAGATCTAATAAACATATGTAAAAGCTTGTATAACAACAATGAGGGTACTGTTAAAACAAATGGAGGACACTCCGAACCATGCAACTTAAAATCTGGAGTGCTGCAAGGCTGTGTGTCTCCCCCCCCCCCACCCACTCCCCTCCCCCTTTGTCTTTATAACTTTATAACTTACATTGATAACATTTGTAAAGAAACAAACCTGACAAGAACTATACTGCACCAAGGAGGAGGAGGAGGACCAAAGTCAAACAGTTTCATCAAAGAACTATCATTTGTGGATGACCAAGCCCTAATTGCTACTTCAAAAACATAATTGCAAGACCATATAAATAATTTAAACCAAATTTGCAAAGAGCATTACATGAAAATTAACGCCAACAAAATCTAAATCATGACAATAGTCAAAGTAAGACAAAATAGTGAATATCCAGCTTACAGAAAACACTCTGAAACAAACCAAAAACTTTAAATACTTATTCTTTTTCTTCTTCACTTCCTCTTCTACCGCTGTGGGTGTCGAGGGAGATATAAGGCTCTGTCTCTAGCTCCTCTGGCCGCCTCGACCATGGGCACATCGTGCTGTTGTAGAGTTTCTTTGATGTTATCCTTCCATCTTGTTCTTGATCTACCTCGTGCTCTACGTCCTTCTTCTCTTTCCATGTATGCTTTGTATGGTATGGTGTCACAAGGCATTCTCTCTAAGTGGGCAAACCATTTCACCTGCTGTCTTCGAATGTAATTTAGAACTAGTTCTGTGCCGACTTTTTCTCTTATGATCTCATTCCTGATCTGATTTCTTATGGTCACTCCTACAGCCCTTCTCAGACATCTCATCTCCATGGTTAAATACTTTAAATACTTAGGAAGCATAATATCATCAGGCAGCAAAACAAGATAAAATTGATGACAGATGTAACAGAGTAAACCAGCTCATTGGGCAAATGGAACCAATACAAAAACAAAAATGTGCCAAAAGAGCACTCTATGACACATCTTATTGTCACTGTGTGCTACCAGCGCCAGGCCTGGACAATGAGAGAAAAGAATTACAGCAACTGAAATGAGATTCCTACGAAGGGCTCTTGATGTAACAATAAGAGATAAGATAAGGAATGAAGAAATTCAGAGGAGAATGAGGGTAGCGGTAGCTCTGGATTTCAGTGGAAGACAAAGGTAAAATGATATGGCCATATAACGCGGATGTCAGCAAACAGTATACCACAGAAAGCAATGATGTACAGACCAGATGGGAAGTGAAGAAGAGGCTGACCATGCAAGCCATGGACCGAAGGAATAACAGAGTCCCTGGGAATCGCCATTATACTTCACCTCGGCACCGCATAGTATAAGAAAATCAAGATAAGATGATGAGATTCCAAGATATGGAAGCGATTTCAGGATTGTAGACAGCCTGAATGCAAATGCATTGGACTCTTTAGAAAGATAACTATTTGCCAGAATAAACAACTAGCAGAACTGGTGATGCCTTGTGTGATTACTTATGTGTGCAACTGCTGATTTGTCATAACTGCTGCTTCCATTGATAATGGCTGCAGTTCTAGTGGCAGGCTGTTTGTGTTGACACTTCTGATGGCTGCCTTATGCTATTAATGCATGTTTGACTTTGCCGAGACTGCTGGTTACATTTTTTTTTCACAAGGAGCAGCAGTAAGCATTCTTTGTGGTTTTAGCTGGCTCAGGAATGAAGCCATAATAGGGTCACTCGTTTGCCATGAAGTTGGAATTGCGATTAACTGATTAACTAAGTAAACTGTTACCATAATAAAGAATATAATATAAATGCATTGGATTATTCCTTTATGCTGTTATTTACATTGTGTTCTCTAGGTTTTTATTCTTTTTCTTTCCTACAGTAATCATGCCGTAGTTGGGATCTCTTTGTGAGAAAGAAAATTCTTTTAATGACAGCTAATTTGAATGATGCAAACCTGTGAATTTTGAATGCTTTGTGCCGTCCAGCTGCTTTTCTCTCCAAATTGTGTTTCGAAGTTTAACAGTTTCCATTGGCTGTTTTTTCCTTCAGTTTTCCATTTTATTGAATACATTTTCTGAGAAATGTTTAGTGAAAATAAATTCACTTTTTCATCAGACAATGTGTCGTTTGGTTTTATGTTCTTTCCAGCTGGGCAGAGTGTTTCTTTATATTTCGTTCATATTCCTTGATCCAAATGGAAGTAAATTGTTTGCTTTGCTGAAATATATTTTATCATTGGTTGTGGGATATGCAGCAAATAAAATATCTACATGTTTAAAGTAAGATGTATTTCTCAACCAGCTGACAACATTGTCTTTTTTATTTTATTTTTTATTTTGAGCTCTTAAGGGTTAATGTACTCTACCGTAATTCTTAATTTTGCTATGTTGCCGAGGTTAAGGTTTATCTCTTTCTATTTGCTTGTGAATAATTCCAGAGATAAATAAGTTTCTTTACATGTGGATATGTGTTTACAATTCTTTAATGAGTATTTTTGTGCAGAAATTTAAAACAGAAATTATGTTAAAACTTTAGTAGTCAAAAGACATAGTTAAGTGCAATGCCAGTATACTTGTAATTGTAAGTAAGTGATGGCTTCCTGTCCTGAAATTTGAATTTGATAACATTTTCATTGTAAAATATTCAAAGTTTAAATAAATGGTTTAAAAACCTTTAATCTAAATTCATTTTTGAATAAACTTGCGCTTAAAAATGGTGCTGCAAAACAAAATTGACAGTTATATTTGTATTTATTTTTAAAGGAAACAAAAAGTCGAAATATATTCTTAGTCTTGTTTCAGCAGATTAAAACACCACAGTTAAATACAGTTAAATGTATCGTCACGCTGTATATTGTTGTAATGGTTGATTTATGAAAAGTATAGGTAACTATTCACACAATAGATAAGTATTTCTGTGGGGGGGGGGGGGGGGGATTTCCTCTGTATATTGTTGTAATGGTTGATTTATGCAAAGTATATGTAACTATTCATAAAACAAATAAATTTTCATTACTTCTGCCTTTTATCCACGAATAAAACAGTCCCTCAACAAACTCATGCCTAGTCATCCAGTATTTTATCACCTCCTTCAGCTCTTGCATATCCTTCCTATATTATTAATCTCAATCTCTGATTTTTGTCTCCTATTTGTTTTCAGGCCTCGCTCAGTTTTTAACCTTTCAGTTCCGGAGAAAAGAAATTTTAATTAACTGTTAAGATGTTTCCTCAGTGTGAGTCTGATCCAGCACTACCATCTTTTCCTCACTTCTTGTTGTGTTTAATATGTTTAATTGTTGTCAGAGGCTGCACAATGATTCTGTCATAAAATTTGCATCCCTTCGTTCCATAGTCACTAATTAATAAATATTTTTTGGTCCTAGCAACGAAAGTATACATTTACTGCTTGCGCATATTTCTGGATTGTTTCCGGGACTAATTGTTTGTTCACCAGTTTTTCAAATTCAACAGTGAGGGACATTTAATTTGATTCTCACTGGCATAGGAAGGGAGCAGATATGGGAAAACCCGATTGCAGTGAAGTTGAAACTTCAAATTAGTCTAAGACTACAACTTTCGATTTGTTAGTAATGCCCGGCTCTCTAGCATAGTTGGTTAAACCTGACTTTCGCTGCGGCCTGGTGACGAACTCCCTGTGGTCCGGGGGTAGGCAGAAAATCCACATTTCTCCCAGATTAACATATAATGGAATCAAGACTGAAGGGTTGCGATATCCATAGTACCGAGCCAAAAGGTTTACAACTCATGGTTTCTGGATACCTTAAAAATTTTTTTAGTAATTGATGTAGTTATTCTCCATGTTTACATGACCCATGTACTCATTTGACGTTATGGTTGAATATTCTAAATTTGGTGCTATATTTAATGTCTGTTGACTTCCACACATTTCCGAATACTGAGAAACCTGTTTTTGCCTGATGTAGTCGAATTTTAAAATCATCACACTCCACGCAACATTGTCTGCATCAATGTTCTTCAGCCGGTGGCCGCCAGAAATGTTCTCCATAATCATTAAACAGGCTAGGGTAGGTAGTCTTCTCTTCCAGAATTGCACTATTTAGGACTAATACTTTAAGGATGAGAATGAAACAAGTGGCGTAACCTGTAGTCTAGTCTGGACTGGAAATAAGGACGATAACTTATGGAGCAGCTATTTGATTCTGGCACTACATTCTGCAAATCGAATGTGACATAGTATGTGACAATTTTGCAATTTTTCAGATGTGGCCACCAAATTATCAGTATAGTTTCAACTTCTATCCACACATTGTAAAATTCTTGTAATTGTTCATTTTGTTTTCTAATATTACGCTGTGTTATTTAGGAATTTGTAAAATTTATTTTATTAAATTTAAAAATGGCAACAACAAAAAAATGGTCTCCCAGCAAAATCTTTTAGCCATCTTCATTAGATGCAATGTCAGTATTCAGGAGGTCAGTGGTAATGATTCATTAAATATGCCAATATTGTTTAGAAGAAACAAGGCAGATAAATATGTTGTGACACTTCAGCATAGTGCCAATGGTATACAATGGTATTTGAATTGTTGATAATTGTGAATACCGATGTGTAAGTTTGTTTAAATATATATATACACACACACCCACATGTATGTATGTATGTATATGTGTCTGCTCTGTGTCTATGCGAATGCTTCGTAATGCCGGGGTGCCAGGTTGGTTCGATCCCAGCTGCGGGCCATGCGTCTGCGTTGGTTTCAACAGTGGTATCAGAGGGCCGACCGTCTAGAAAGCAGTGACAAACTACTGGGCGTAAATTTGCCTAGAGAAACCACACAACAGCAAGGGGCTGCTGGGGTTGATTCTGCAACGTCCTGTAAAGGATACGCAACTAACCTTTTAAATGTATATGTGTGAATTTTGTGTGTATAAACATACATGTATTTTGACATATTTACTCATTTGTCCTTCTTTTATGTGGCAAGGTATAATTTTGCCTGGGATGTAGACAGAGACGTGGGAGAGTTGTCTGATGTTACTGTCAGCTCCATACACACCAGTGACATCTCATCATTTGAAGACCTGTCTAGCGACAGTGAAGATGTTGTGGAAGCGGCTGCAGATGATGATGAGCAAGAGAAAGAAGAATCAGATGTTAACATAGGTAAAATCATTTTGATTTTTTTAATGATATGATGTTATTGGCTTGGTTGGTAGCTGTTTTTCTAGTACTGAGATCACAAGTCTCTTTTGTTCACATGAAGGTGAAGCTAATACAAATTATCTTCTCGAGAATCTTATAAAACAAAAAATCCATGAGTCTGTATATCTGTCACATGAACTCCTTGCTGCAATGTCTAAGTTCTATTTTTAAAAAGTTATCTATGTCTTCCTGCAAAATAATCTCACAATGACTAACCATTAGCATTCACTGAAGTTATTTCTTGAAAGTACTTATACTGTCCAAAAAAGGAAACACATAGCATACGTACTCACAACTTTACATTCTGCTTCTTTGTAATGCAATAAGTGAAATTACTCAAATTTTACACAAGAACATCTTAGGGTTCCACCAACCAGTTGACATGTTGTATTTTGCATCTGAGTCACGTTAATTTTTAGGCGTACAGCTTTTCCCGTTGGTATGGTGTGTGGCCTCCTCTTGCGTGGATCAGTGACTGGCATCTCCTGCGATAAGATGTCTGAGGTGGACCTGTGGGATGGCTGCTTACTCTTCCTGGAGAGCCTGGAACAGATCGTGACTATTGGCTGGAGCAACGTCTCAGCGACAAACACGTCTTAGCAGCTTATCCCAAGGTATAGTCCTAGGAAGTAAAGGTGGCTGGCGTGCCTGAAGGTGTGGAAAAGGGTCCTTTACTTATATATAATAGTCAGTCATATATAATAGTTTGTGTAAGTAAAAGGTATTAACTATTTATTTCCTGCAGGAGAGCAGTCGGCTGCATCTGAAACTATTACAGAGGAAACTGCTTTAATTTATGAAGAAAAACAACTATCTGAACATGTAGACTCTCCAGAAGAATCAAACGCTTTAGACAGTTCTCTGATTCCTGAAACTCCAGAAGTAGTTGAAACAGTGAATACCCCTGAACTTCAGTTTGCTGAAGCTGTACCCAGTATTTCTGCAGCAGTTTCAGGTATAATATAAGTAGTTTCTGGATGTAGCTTTTTTATTTTTAAGAACGTTTCCTTTTTTAATTATAATTGTCTTCATTCTATTAGAGTTTCAGTAAGTATCTAAGTGTTGACGTTATCATAGGTAGTTTCCAGATAACATGTCAGATTTCAGCATTTTAAATACCTGATGGCTAGAAATAACAAGGTTTAAAGGCAGGATTCACCGTGCGGGTTCCTGGCCCCATCGTGGGGAAGCAGGAAAGGACCCACTGTCCCTTAACAAGCATGTCATAAAGGGAATAATGAGGGGTTTGCTGAAGTTGGATGTGTTAGGCCTAACAGCACAGATATAACAACCTAATATGTAAACAACAACACAACATGCCAACTGCCCTTTTAAAGGTGAGCGAAGAAGAAGGGAGCTAATTGAATTCATAAGCTTAGCCTGTCTGCTTCATTACTGTACATGTGTGGACTAAACAAACTGCTGAATATGAATCTAAAATAGGTGAAGAAACAGGAGAAATGCATAAACAACCACTGGTATCTCCTTCTTTTTCCTCGTATTTACCAGCTGTAAACTCCGGCGGAAAGTTCTGGTTGTTCAACAACCTCTGGACTTAGACTTGTTCCAGAACCTGAGTCTTGCTGCACATCCATTTTATAGATCTGACTTGTTTGTATGCAGACTGTTAGTTCCTGGGTTCTCAGGCAGATGCACTCCGACTTTAAAGGAAACCCCTAATTAGTCAACTCTTACGACATGTTTGTTGGGAAGGCAGTGGGTCTAT